CTAGCTGGATTCTACATGCACACTACACAATAACCTGAAAAGACACGCGCCTGCACTCGATCTGATTGGTCCCAATAGTGAAACCAAGTCAAAATGTCGTACCTTCAACATTGTCGACTCGACACTTGCGTAAAGGTCCTTGGGGGTCTGGCTTCCGTGTCGCCTGTCTGTTGGCTGGCTCTTACATCAATGTCCAACACATCACTCTAAGCCCCTGCTCACTTCGCCCGCTAAATCTGCTCGAATGAGCAGCTTTGCGGTCCACTTTAGGGTGCTTCTCACTATCCGCAGAATTGAGCTCTACATAATAATTCTTTTCCTCGCCTCCAGTATTCTCGGAGGTATTCATCGAGTTATTACTCGCGGGAACGCCCTCCACCTCGACTTCGCAGAACTCTCAATTAATGCAGCCGTCGTACACACTCTCATCTGGTGGGTTCGACAGTTCCGTCACCGACATCGGATCGGACGCATGTAGGCGTGACAGCATTGCAGCTAGCTCGTCGGTGATGGGGGCTTCCTCTTCTGGCTCACTTTATTCATACGCATAGTAATCGAGTAGACCGGTGTGTCTTGAAAACTTAACAAATGTCGATGCCTTCTAACGTTTCAATAGCTTAGTAATTGCTCCTTGAGATGGCGCTGTTGCAACCAGAGGTTCCGAAAATGTTATTTTTATTGAGACTGGCAAAACAAGAATACAACTAACTATAAGTGTTTGGAGCACCACTGGTGCAAAAATTATTGGTGCTATTGTGCAATATACAGTGAGCTGATACTCGTCTAGTTGTTAGGAGCCTCACCACGCACAACCTTCCGGACTGTGGCAGCGTTCCAGCAGGTGGCCCTCGCGGAGTCTCAGCGACCAACCATCAAAATGAGAGGGCAAGAGCGCGGCAGATCAATTGAAGATTGCGGTTCAGCTGGACCGCTGGTCCGTAGGGCTCCATCGAGCTCGGTTAAAGGTTATTGCCTGAGAGAGCGCGGAATAAATTATTTGATTTTGAAATGGGAGCTCGCAAATAAAATATTTTACTACAAAATAAAAAATAATATTTAATAAAAATAACATTTTCGGAACCCCTGGTTGCAGCGACAAAGTTGAATGAGCCCACTCGGCTTGATGTTGTTGTGATAGGTTGGGGTGGGTGGCATGATGCTGGTAAATTTGCAAGCGATGAGCATTGGTGAGCATGGTGCGGGTTGAAAGAGAGACTCTGGGAGGACTGCAAACGCAAGGAATGGTAGCGTGCGTTTGTTTTGGCTTCTGTAAATGTACCATACACCTGGCTGAGCCACCCCGCAACAAGAATGCCCTCAGCTAGGAATACATGTAAAAGATGGTTCCCGACGATATGACTACCGAAGGGCTCATCTGTATTTTTGTTAGGTCGGAGGACAGCTGTCGTCATATGTTTCATGTGGTGCACGTAGCCTTAACAATAGAAAAAAGTGTCCGTGATCAAGTGCCATGACGATCGCTGCTGCTGGCGGCTCCGTCGCCGTCCTGCCGCACTCCCCCGCCCCCATTCTCCCCGTGGCTGCCGCCACAGGCCTGCTATTCTCTTGTCTACTCATAACAGTAAACAGAACAGCTCCTGACCCCTACATGGTAAGCTGATCCGCGTCATTCTCTTCTCTCGCTTCGGACCATTTTGATTTCTCTTCCTACCGACAGGACGAGATTTTCCATATCTCACAAGCCCAGAAGTACTGTGAAGGACGATTCGGTGCAATGTGGTCCGGGCTTTACGTTCATGTCCTACTTGGCTAACTTGTGGCCTTCACTAGATGAATGGGATCCCAAGATCACAACATTTCCCGGACTGTATTTAGTGTCAACGCTGTACGCTAAACTTGCTTCGACGTTCAATACGGACGACTTCTGCTCTGTAGCAGTACTACGAAGTGTGAACGTGTTATTTGCGGTGGGGAACGTCGTACTGTGCGCGTCGATCAGACACCACGTGGCGCCACAAGACCCCCATGCACTTCTGCATGCACTGCGCATTGCAGTGTTCCCACCGCTATTTTTCTTCACCTTCTTGTTTTACACGGACGGAGGGGCGACGTTCTTTGTGCTATTGATGGCGCTGCTGGCGGAGAGGGTGGACCTGTTGCAGTATCCACCAGCGAGAGGAAGCTTCATGCTCAGCGCCTTGGTGCGTTTTGCAAGCACTCTCTTTCGTATTAGTACGCATGTTTGACGTTAGATGTTTCGGCTTCTTATAGAGTGGAGCGGTGGCGGTGCTTTTCCGTCAGACGAACATCGTCTGGGTGGTCTTTGTGGCTGGCACTGTTGTGGTTCGCTGTGTGGAGCTTGCTCACTCAAAATTCATCTACGGGTACGTAACCTGGCCCTGGTTCGCCTGATAAGAATCTTTTGCTGAAATGGACCATCACGGCAGATCATTGAGAGAGGATTCCAGCGTCAGTGGCACTGCGTCCATTGTCACACACAGGTAGAATGGCTATGCAGATACTGCGCAGCCCAGAATGCTTAACGTCACTGAACTTTTTGTGCAGCTCTCTTCGCGTGTTCCTCAACTTCATCAGCGTCGTGATCTCCAATCTCCCGTCCATTCTTCTGATCGTGTGGC